TACAAGATTTGTTAATCATTTGAACGTACGTATATGTGTGTATTGATTATGAGTACTTTATAAATTTTGCAGGCAAAGTGTTCATCTACTGGCTGGGTACGGAGCCATTTTTACGCATTGCAGATCCAGAGTTTCTTAAGAAATTGTCTTCAGGGGTTATAGGAAAGAGTTGGGGAAAACCAAATGTATTTAAATATGACAGAAAACCCATGTTTGGTGACGGGTTAGTCATGGTTGAAGGTGATGAATGGGCTCGTCTTCGGCATGTAATCACACCTGCATTCTCTTCCTCCAACTTGAAGGTCTCTTTCTCTCTCTTTCTATCTCGTCCAAATTAATACAAATATGGACCATTCTTTATATACTTTATATATGCTTTTTTGTGTTGAAAAGACCATTCTTCGTAGCGAAATATGAATTTCAACCTAGTTTCACCATGCGAGTTCAAACTCTTGACTTGTTCACCTTGATGACAATACATATTGACCGTATGATTGGTGGTTATAATTGCACTTTCTTGCAAGAGCCAAACTATAATCCATTACATATATCTTTCATTGGATCTTAGTCTTAGCCATAATGTTATTTATCTGTAATATTGCTTAATTTATGTTGCTTGTCCAATAGGCTATGGCAAGTTTAATGGTGGAGTCCACCTCTAAAATGCTAGACAAGTGGAGTAGCCTCACAAATTCCGAGAACCAAGAAATCGACGTGGAGAGAGAAATTATAGCAACGGCCGGTGAAATCATCGCAAAAACCAGCTTCGGTATAAGCTACGAAAATGGGAGAGAAGTATTAAAAAAATTAACCGACATGCAGGTTGCACTTTTCAAGTACAACCGCTATGTGGGTGTCCCTTTCAGCAGTTTTATGAACCCTATGCAAAACTTGGAGGCCATAAAACTTGGAAAAGAAATAGATAGTCTTCTTCAATCGATCATAACTGCTCGAAAGAAAGCTGGTAGTAATGTGCATCCTTCGAAGGACTTATTGGGATTATTGCTGGAAGCAAACGATGTGGATGATCGGAAAGGGAAGAGATTAACGGAAAGGGAACTGATTGATCAATGCAAGACTTTCTTCTTCGGCGGTCAAGAAACGACGGCTTTGGCATTGTCGTGGACTTTGATGCTTTTGGCAATCAATCCAGAGTGGCAAAATCAGTTGAGAGAGGAGATAAGAGAAGTGATTGGAGATAAAGATATCGATTTCCAATTGCTTGCTGGACTAAAGAAGGTAATTTATGCTTTCATCACATGATATTGCTCGCTGAATTAATTTCTTGAGGTGAATTTTCTAGGAAAAAGAATAGTATACTATATATTATACATAACACGTTTGGTGCATTTGAAAATAAATTTATATATTAAGGTCTTACCCTAAAAAAACAGTCACTTGTCACCCACATATAAAAGATGCATGGTCTCTCTAGTCTTATGCACAAAAACACTATTGCCTTCTGGAATTTACCATCTGGCACTAATTAATTTTGGTTTTATTTAATATCATACAATTTTATAATGCGTATGATATTATATGACCAAAAAAAGAAAACAGCAAACTTGTCATTCTGTATCTTGACCAAAAAGGGGAACCCCAACGTTGTCATTATATAAAATAATATATAATATTATTATTAAATAATCTAAAGGAGTCATTAGTCAAAGGTCAGCCCGCTAAAAAAAAAAAGCTTGTGTATTAGTCCACGCGTTGAAGCGCGTGCAAAAGACATGTTCCGGCTTTAAAAACGATGACGTCAGATGAATGTCATATAAATAGCACTTTTTTGTGTCATCTTCACTCGCACTTCACTTGAGCGGCAAAATCAAACAAAAATCAACGGTGGCCGCCCCTTGACCCGTCGAGTTCTCCGTTTGGTCCACACAGAGTCCAAACTCAAAGATTATTTTCTACTGCTTACCGCCCAAATCCAATCTCTCCGTGTTTCTAGAAGTACAATTCTTATATTGAATAAATATTTAATCTTTACTAATTAATGTGTTCATTTGTTGCAGATGGGATGGGTGATGAACGAAGTTCTACGGCTATATTCACCGGCACCAAATGCGCAAAGGCAAGCGCGCCAAGATATTAAAGTTGATGACGTGGTGGTTCCCAAAGGAACCAATTTGTGGATTGATGTGGTGGCCATGCATCATGATCCCGCTTTGTGGGGCGATGACGTGAATGAGTTCAAGCCAGAGAGGTTTAGGGACGATCCATTATACGGTGGGTGCAAACACAAGATGGGTTTTTTGCCTTTTGGTTTTGGAGGGAGAATGTGTGTTGCTCGGAACTTGGCCATGATGGAGTATAAGGCTGTTTTAACCAAAATTCTATCGAGGTTTTCTGTGAAGCTCTCCCCAAATTATCACCATGCGCCTTCGATTGTGCTATCTCTTAGACCGACCCATGGGTTGCCCCTCATAGTTGAACCCCTGTAATCAGTTTAATCAATCACAAAGTTTTTCTACTATGTAGAGATTTTGCAGACAAAGGTTTACTACTATGTAGTGATTTTGCCGCAAGTTTATGGCATCTCTGTTTTGCCATGAATTTGTGGCATCTCTGTTTTTGTTTGTGGTGGTGGGTGCAATAATTATCATTGTAAAATATGAAAAATAAAATAAGCACTTTTTTTCTAGATTGTTAATTTTTTATTTCTTTGTCTTTGTCTTGGTTATATTCATTTATTTGGACTTCTTGAATCTAATTAAACTACAAAATGCCAACAGAGGAAAGCTTTGAGCTCATCCATCTTTGTGTTAGGTACTTAGGGCTACAACGAAAATTATTGTAAGACTATTACATTCCATCTGAGAATATACTATCAAAAGACTTGTAAAAGGTTACAAGAAGTGGTCCAGAATCTCATAAACAAAATCGTTTTTTCCCCCAGAATATATATATTTTAATTTTAATTTTAATAATGAGTAGCCGTTGCCTTCAAAAAGCTAGAATAATGCTGATGCTGAGGTTGGTGGGGAGCGGGGACATGAAATATCACAATATTTCATTAAAGAAAGTACGTTTTAATCTTAGTTGGTGACAAGAAAAAAAAGAAAATGCAGACAACCGAAGAGGACCACTAAACTAATTAAAACCATAATTATTAGCATCATACGATATACGATATGTATCTTACGATATGATTCGATACAAGTTACTAATGATATGTATCAAAGAGTGTATTATAAACTTTTCGATATGTTGATATGTATCATACGATATAATACGTATCGGTTTATGCCCTTACAAATTTCGATACAACTTACCCGATTCATTAAAATCCGTCAAAATTTACCAATTTTTCATGAGAAAAATGTGTTACCCATTTTGTATTATAATAATAACACAAGTAGAGATATAAATATTAATATTGATCTTAGAAATTATATGAATGGTTGAGAGGAAATGATATAAATTATTAATTATGTAAAACCATAATTTAAAACCAATAATATCTCAAAATTTGTTAATTAATCTTGAGGATAATATTAATTTTTAGAAAAAATTTATTATTTTTTTTACTATTTTCTTTTAAAGACATATCATATATGATACGTAATATATTATTTAAAAAATTAGGTTTTCGATATACAATACGATATACGATTTGACAACCATGATTAAATCCTTATGAATCATTCTAAATCCCTGTTACTATACTTAGAAAAATATTTTTCCCAATCAAACTCTCGTACCTGGGAAAATAGAAGACTCAATTCAAGGATTAATTAATGATCCATTACAATTATAAAAAATAATTTCCAAAATGTCATGATTTCATATTATTAACAAATGTTGAGGGAAAATGATATGGATTCTTAATTTTGTGATTAATTTTAATTATGTAAAACCATAATTTAAAGGCAATAATATCAAAAAATTCGTTAATTAATCTTGAGGATAATATTAATTTTTAGAAATTTATTATTATTATTATTATTATTTTAAAAGACGTATCCTATGATACCATATGATACGTGATATACTATTAAAAAAATTAGATTTAAATCCTTATGAAACATTCTAAATCTTTGGGAAAATAAAAGACTCAATTCAAGGATTAATTAATGATCCCTTACAATTATAGAAAATAATTTCCAAAAAGTCATGATTTCATATTATAAACAAATGTTGAGTGGAAAATGATATAGATTCTTAATTTTTTTGATTAATTTTAATTATGTAAAACTATAATTTAAAATCAATAATATCACAAAATTCGTTAATTAATCTTAAGGATGATATTAATTTTTAGAAAAATTTATTATTATTATTTTTTTTAAAAACGTATCTTACGATATGATGCAATACGCGATATACTATTAAAAAAATTAAGTTTTTGATGCAATACATGATTTGACAACCATAATTAACATTCTAAATCCCAGCTACTATTCCTGGAAACACAATTTTCCAATCAAACTCTCATATTTGGGAAAATAGAAGACTCAATTCAAGGATTAATTAATGATCCCTTACAATTATAGAAAATAATTTCCAAAAAGTCATGATTTCATATTATAAAAAAATGTTAAGAGGAAATGATATAAATTTTTAATTTTATGATTAATTTTAGTTATATAAAATAATAATTTAAAATCAATAATATCACAAAAATATTTAATTAATCTTGAGGATGATATTAATTTTAAGAAAATTTTTATTATTTTATTTATTATTATTTTTTTTTTAAAGACATATGCTATGATACAATATACAACATACTGTTTAAAAAAATTAAATTTTCGATACACAATATGATACACGATTTAACAATCATGATTAAATCCTTATGAATCATTCTAAATCCCTATTACTATACCTTAGAAAAACATTTTCCCAATCAAAATTGTATTTGAGAAAATAGAAAACTCAATTCAATGATTAATTAATGATCCTTACAATTATAAAAAAATAATTTCAAAAAGTCCTGATTTCATATTATAAAACGATTTTTACGGAAAGCAAAAAGATGATTAGACCCATCATCCTTCAAACCTGTACTTATTACTAAATCTAAGAGATAAAAGAATTGGATCCTGAATTCAATGGGTCCAATATTTGACAAACTGAGCACCTTGTTTACACTGAAGCGCTCCAGTGGCATAAGATTTGAACTAAATTGTAGCCGACAGACTAAACGTGATTATTATCCATTACATAGTTCCCAAACCTCTTGGGAAGAATTGATACCGATTTTAAATCCAAGCTACAATGTAATTCCAATGTTTCACAGCAATATGTAAAAATATTGGGAGCAACATAGAATATTCATCGTTATGTAGAAACTATCCTTAAAATGAAGGAACTTGCAACAAAGGGGGTGCACTTTCTGGACTTGTAAAAACAGAGAAATCTTAAAAAAGAGGCAGGCTGGGCGGGAACCGAACATGCATCCACAGTCTCTCATATGCCGCCACATGGTTCCACCCCATCTCATCTAGCAAAGAAATTTTCAGTTCATAGAGCTTCTTCTTGGGAGGCTCCGCATCATCTTGAATCATCTCACTCAATACCTGCGCCAGAAGATGATTTAATAATATGTCTGCAGACTAATGAAACAAAATGAACAACCACATCTTTGCCACCCAGCATTGAAGCCTAACACCTACTTCAACTTCAACCCCCACCTTCTATCTTTTACTTCCTCGACAGGCTAGCGACTAATGACTATGCCTGCCTCAAACAAAATGTAATTCTATGACAGTTGTCACCAGTAACTGGACTAATATATCAAGAAAACTACCTTTAGCGCAGTTCCAAGCCTTCCAAGCCGTCTTTCACGTAGCACAAAGAGGTTTCCATATTTGGAAGACTTCACATCAACCCACTTCTTCAGTTCTTTGAAGTTGTCTTCAAACAAATCTGGTTGACCACCAGAGACAGGTGCAGATTGATCACCAGTCTTGTCCACATCTTTTGTGCCTTCATTTGCATCTGCAACTGAAGCTTTGTCACCCTATACGATGATAAAAAGATGATCAGCGCCACACAGGTTAACAAAGGAATTGTGCTCCTATGTTACCTAAAAACAGAGGAGAATGAAAATGAATACAAGACACAACTCAATAAATTGGTGTTCCTTTTTTTCAATTTTTTTTTTTTTTTTAAATAGATCGGTTTTAAAACTCTGAAATTTAAATGATTCAAAAAAGCAAGTGGATGACACACAACTTTAAGGAAGGAAACAAGGCAAAATTAACTATATTCCCAATGGATCTCTCCTGAAATATGGATGTAGATAGGGAGAGAAAGTGGGGAAATTGTTAGACACAATGTGACTGCAGCCCCTAGCAATCCAACAATATAAGACATAAATAGCTAAGTCATAGAAACACAAGTTCAGATAAGGTGATAACAACACTCATAAAGATGGGAGAGAAAGTGGATATCTCCTGAATTTTTGTATATATAGAGAGAGAAGGTGGGGACAGTGTTGGAAACAATGTGCCTGCAGCCCCTAGCAATACAATAACATATGACATAAATAGCTTAATGATAGAAAAGCAAGTTCAGATATGGTGGCAGCACCACTCGTAAAGTGATGCATTCAACTTTTAACTTTTGATCATAGAACCATTTACAAACTCTGTAAAGCCTAAATAAAAATCATTTCAGTTTCTTGACAAACAAGTTTTGTACTACAATAATACAGCTAAACAAGCAGAAAGTTTCAGAAAAACAGTAATAGCATATTATTTTAGCAAAGCCTGCATAAAAGACTCATGAACTACCTTCAATGATTCAATCTCTGCCAGTGCTAATCCTTTTTGGTAAAGTGCCTCTGCTAACTGATCACGTGCTGTCTCCATCTTTTTCTTGATTTTCTGTAATCAGAAAGCATCAAGGATGTAAATTAATTGTCATCACCTCTAATAAATAACTGAATACAAGCAATACTACCACAATTCAAGCAACGAAGTAATATAAATTCTAAAAAGATGCTAAAAGTTGAAGAAATAACATGTAGCCCGGCCACCAGATCAAACTAAGAGAAAAATGTGTTTTGATAGGATGCATTATGATAGAAAATAAAGCCAAGAGCTCAGTTGTCAATGTTTAAAAAAAAAAAAAAAAAAGGCAGCATGGATCCACACCTCTGCTTCCTCATCCTCTGGATCACTTTTCTGTGAAAAAAATTTCGCTAGCTCATCTTGGTCAACACTGTCAATTACCTCGTTTGCTGCCTCTATAACCTGCAAAGGGCCATTTCATAAGTATGTAGATGATTATGCCTACATACCCATCATCCATTGAAAATAAATACATTGACAGAGATAGGAAAATGCTTCATTTTAGAAGAAATAATTTTAAAGTACTTGATATTCTGTGAAATAGTGCACAAACTTCTTTGCTTGTCATAAATCAATACTACAAAGTACTTTCAGCTGACTATATGTTTGTCATAAGACTTACCTCTTCCTTGCTGCGGATTTTGTCCCCAACATTACTTTGAGAAAGCAGACCTTCCAAAATCTTGGCAAGCAATGGAATGTATTTAGGATATTCAGACTACAAAGACACAGTTAAGAGTTATTAATTGACATTTTGGACCAGAAAACTAATTAATTGCCCAAAATAGTTCTTCAAAAAGTTGAAAAAGATGTTCCAATACTCTGGTCATCCTCAACTTTCTGTGTCAAATAAGCAAAAACTAAAGCTTGTTTCTAGAATAATTTATAAATTCTAACAAGCATCATAGTTATATGACAATTTAATTAATGAACATGGTCACGCAGATCCAGAAATAAAGTCTTGCTTTATGGTTAAACTAATTAATGGAATAAGAGCGTTGAACACAAGACTTTTCAGTTAACCTGGTACCAATGCTGCTATCATACTAAGATGAGTACACTTAAGCTTAGAGAAAAGAGTCCAACAATAGCATTTAAACTAACAACAAATTGAAATAATCATTGAGCTATTTGATTATTTAGAATGAAAGGTGTTTACATTTAGGAAAAAATCAAACATTATGACAAAGCATTTCCACAAAATCCACATATAGCATAAACAATAAACTTAAATCACGTTATAAGTGCTTCTCAGTTCATAATAAATCATAAATGGTTCTAACCTTAAGAGAAGCAGATAATTTTTTCCATTCTGAGCACTCTTCATCAGTGTCTTGTTTAAGGCTTCCCAACACTTTTATCTTTGCATCTCGGACCTGTTTGACATGCAAAACCAGCATAAAGTAGCTGTAGAAAACTTGGATAATAACAACTTGAAAACGTTAGTGTCCTACAGCTAGAAACAAGAGGTTTGCTAATAATAAAAATAGCACAACCGCAGAGAAATGAGAAGACTTCATGAGAAAGCTGCCAAATGCAAGCCTAATGTGTACATGTTTTGTACTAGTGTAAGTGTAACGCAGCCAATAAGTATTCACCAATCTAACATGCAGGTGCATCACAAGATTGTAATTTCCTGAAATATAAGAAAAACAAAAGCCAATTTTTTTAAATCAACAATTACCCAATCTATGCATTTGAAGGCTCTTGTTAGTGCTTTTACTCAATGACCAGAAAAGGAGAAGCAGCTAACACTGCACAAGTGTTCTCAAAATTTGACACTCTTACTAAATGTACATTCATCATTCACTTAAACATGAAACCAAATATTAAATTTGCCAGGGGACACAAAAAATCTATTGACTGGTGAATTTTTTTAAATTAAAACTTGAAACCTCAGAAGAAATTAGATACCGGACACAACAAATTCGATGAACAAAAAATGTACAACCACAAAGCATAAAAATTAGACAACATTTTACATCATATTACACCTTAGTGAAAAAGAGAAGCTCGCCACATTTAAATAAAACTTGTTTATAAATCAATGCATTGCAAAGTCAAAATGCAAACATATTAAAACATACCTAAGTTGCATCATTAGATATGAATGAAAGATTAACTTAAATTCACTTGTCACATATCAAAAATTAAAATTTTCAAGTAAACATTTATGTAATCCAAATTGACAACTTCACTGTCCGTATCAAATTACAAATATTTTAAAACTATTTACAGTTTATTTGACTACAAAGACAGAAGATATCATACACAATTTGACAACTTGTATAATAAGTGCCAAATATCTAAGCTACATACATAAATCAATCACACACGCACATTTGCTGAAGAAAATTTATACTTTCAGGTTGACTGGATTACCTCTTCTTCTAAACGCTCAGACACAGACTTAGTGCAAGTAGAACCTTTCCCCTTGTCCTCATCAACCTGTCAAACAAGTACAGCAGAAAAAATTAGTTAACAAACTGTGTGGAAGTATAAAGAATGGAACAGACAAGACATTGTTCAGCAGGTTAATCCCTGTAGCAAATAAATTATGTTCATTTTTTTTTTTTTTTTTACCATTTCATAATGATTTATGTCTTGTACAAAAGGCAAAAAAACAAGGCAGCACATCTTAAAACCTTATTAGGTGGCACTACATATGCAATTTGATATGTAACAGGGTTTTTTCGTGGGTTTTTTGCTTCTTCCTGACCAGCAAATGATAGCTTTCCATAGGAGACTACTCCAAACAATATAGATCCTTGGGGAGAGTTCTGCAGATAACATAAGAGTGCAGTTATAAATCTACTGCAACAATGTTTGTAAGTGGAATTTCTTTAGTTTTTTTCACCTAAAAAAAAAAAAAAAAAAAGAAAAACATACTTTTGGAAGCTTGTCTTTTGCTGGTGGGCCCAAATAAAATGCTTGCTTTTTTCTACCAAAAGATGCTCCAAGTTAGGATACATATGAGACAAAACTAAAACATAGAAGGAATCATACAGCAGTCAACCATACCCTGGTACTAAAGTGGAAGCTTTAAAAGAACCATTTCCCATCACTGGACCATCTGGTTGAGAGAAGAAGTTCAATCGAATGACATCCTGGATTAGAAATAAACCACTGAAACATTTAATAGGTGCTTAAAACAAATAATTCTTCAAAAAGATGAAAACAGCCTCCACAAACCAGAAATTAATTCAACTTTCCGTAAACTTAAAATTAAACTAGTAGATTAGACCATAAGTTTGATATCTCAACAGAAGAATTCTAAAGTAGACCAATTCTTTACACAAGTAGAACAAATCATTAGCGAAGATAATTCTTCTACACCAATGTAACAACTAATTGCTCAAAGGTTGAACTTTATAAAAACATGATTCTCTACCTTCTCCTCCAAAGTTCTCTCAATGAACAGCACCAATTGCTTCATCTTCTCCAGATACTGCACATTGTCGTGCCTGAAAAATGATAATTACCATGAGAGAAAGGAACATGGGGTTGAAGCCTCTATTTACCAGATATTTTAAATGGTTAAGAACTTTATAAATGCAATACAATGTCCACTTTCTCCCTATAAGATTACCAGTGAAAACACAGTTTCAGGTTCTTAAGAAGAACCAAATTGGTCATCAATAAAGGAGTGAAAGATGAATTGATATTAAGGAATTTCTTTTAGAAGACAAGCACAGTTTCTTTATTAGTTGGTATTCCATAGTTTCGTTTAGAAGACCACATTTCTTCTGGGCCAGTTTAGATTAGAATCTGGTATACCAAATCTAGGCAGCAAAACAAGTCACGAACACAGTCAACAAGGGGATGAGCAAAATGAAAATTAGCATGTGCATATTTTTTGCTTCCTAGGAAATGGCTCATACCTCAGATAAAGCTGTAAACAATATTCGCCCTTAGGAAGTTTTGTAGAATCTGGATAAACATCACCCTTTGCATAGACACGCTGGAAGGGAAAAAAAATGACATGAAAAAATAAATCAGATGTGAATAACTAAATAGATATCTGCAATTATGCTTCAATTAAAATGTTTTTAGGCATATAAGAAAATGTTTGACCTATTGCCACAGCACTGTAATAAGTGAATATAGAGTTTTTCATGCTATTAGATCATTCTTGTTTAAGTGCAAATATTTTCATCAAAATCATGAATCACTATCCAGAATATATTCTTAAGAAGACATAATAACATTCCACCAGCTTTTCTCAAACAACTACTAACAAGCATTTTAAATTTCTAAAGTGATAATAGGTCAAAGTACCTTGTTTGTGTCAGAAATCATATAAAATTGAGACTCAAATTTAGTGTCATATATGCGATCATTGAGCAATGGAATCTGAGGTTTGACTTCAGCTCCATCTTCCAGTTTGAACTTGTAACTGCACAACCAGAAATGATAATGGTCTAGTATAACCTGACATGCAGCCAAATGAAGCAACAAAAAAAGCAAATGAATGAAATAACCCACGTTAATGTCAGCGCTAGGATCTGTTTGCCTGAGGGAAGTTTGTCACGATTGGTTGGAAGAACCCTAAGTTTGCTTTCAACAGGTCGATATGGAACTCTTATCTGCAAATGTAAGAAAATAAGACTGATGCATATAAATAATAAATATATATGACTTTAATCATATATATCTTCGAAAAAATGCCTTCTTCACCTTATTAAGAACAGCAGCAGGAGCAAGTCTTTCAGATGCTAATAGGGCTTCAGCATCAATTCTAACTGGTGCTTCACTTCCATCAAGTAGCACTTCCTCTTTACGTATGTCAATCCCATGAAACTCAATCTGAAAAGTTTTATATAGAATCAACATGTAAATTTCTTCACGAAGAAGTTAATAAAACATTCGTTTTTGTTAAATCTTCAAAAAACATCCCAATCCCTCCAGGCCTAGCCCGCCAAAATTATTCTTTGATACAAGAAACACCAAAGCTAAGCTGTCCAGAATTCACCATCATGAACACTGGCTGTGCAAGCACTTCACAGTCAATTTATTTGATCTAAAGAGACAGAAACAAAATCATATAATAGAAAAGGGCAAGGGGAGGAATATGTAAGAAATCATGACCCTATGAATGTTGAAAATCAAGAAAATGAAATAAAAATAGAGAATCAATACAGTTGAGATTTTATCTCACAGAAAAAGTAATGAAATCTCCCCAGCTCCCTGAGAGAAATGGGCAGCAAAGCAGATAATAAAAATAGAAGAAATGAGACAAAAAGTCCAAAAGTCATCCAAATGAAGAAAAATAGAAGCAAGTCCTATTTATGTATAAACTTGAGCACATTCTTACAGCAAACAGTAAGAATTACTGAAAGTAAGAATCAAATTAACCGCCATAAAAGCGAGAAGAACTTCTTGAGATAGCAGGTCCATAAAGCCATCACAATCAAGGTAATCAAGTACTCCAAAACCACTTGTAAAAGTTCAAAACTTTAAAAAAGGTACAAAGTAAAGCAAAAGATACCCAAATCAACAAAATTGCACAAAAGTCTGATAAACTTTCAAATTTTGAACAGAACTAAATAGTTGTATTAAATTTTGACATAAAATTGATACCTCAAAGTCTACAATAGTGGTTTCATGACTTCCCATTCCACTTGACCAAAACTGAGCTACTGCTAATTCCATGGTCTGACCACTCACAACAGGAAAGGCAAAGCTTTTGGCAGCTGCAGAAGAAAACGTCAAAACGCTCTCCCACTTAATAGGCCTTTGCAATGGACAAACCTGCACATTGCAGTAGTAGGCATTTTAAACCAGATCCAAATGACCTGATAAAAATTTTCACTGAATGCTTTGTACCTGAACAGTGTCAACAAAAAAGCGTCTAGTTGTGTCAAACCCCGATGTTCGCATGGTTGCCTCAACCCAACTAGCACCAAGTGGCACTTCAATAAATCTCCGTTCTATGTGACCTGTTCAAACAGTACATTCAAGGCAGAGAAAGAAGAAATTAAGTTCCAAATTAAGAATAACTAGACTGTAGATCAAAGGACCAAATGTCCCATTGATCTGCCTTAGAGTGAGCTTAGATAAATAGAACTTTTTCAAAACTAAATCTCCGTAACATTGTTGCCACCGAAAGCAAGGAAGAAAAGTTTCTCAATACTATATTTCAGATTCTTTCAAGCCAGATCCTTGGAGATTTCATGGAAATCAAATACTTTCTTCATGTCTCACAATGCTTTTAAAACTGTCTCACAATGCTTTTAAAACTGGCCCATGTTTAATTAAAAAGCATTTATATCTATTCTTAAATGACACCTTTTGATGTGATGCAATTATTTTAAAAAATTTCTGACAGAACTGATTCTGACATACAAATAGATACATAATTCAAACTGTTAAAAACCAGTACAAAATAACCTGGCATAAATGACATCCTTGCAAATGAAACAAGTGGAGGCCGACTTAAAACAGCCATAGGCTTTGTTATGGTGACAGGAATTCTAAAAATAGGGCCACGCCCCGGTGCTTTGCAGTCAACTCCATATATTTCATAATAGTGTAGACCACCCTTCAGTTTGGTAGGATCCACCACTATGCTGAAAAAAGGGAAAAGAACTTCTTGTCAAAAGAATAAATTATTGTCAGCATCAAGACAAGAAATAACAAAGTCAAAAAATCTTACAGCAGAAATCTATGAAATTTTTTCATAATAATAAAACAACAAAGTAATACAAGAAAGCCCATATACTTAGTTTGGTGAAACATAGCATGTGCCTCCGATAGCACGAAAGTACATGTATCAGTGTGTATATATGTGTATGTGGCATGTTTTCCATGCTATCTATACTCTGGGGATACATTCATTAATGCTTCTCAACCAGATCACAATCTAAAACAAATGTCCCACCTTTTTCCAGATCATTATGAAGAAATAAAGTCCTCAATAAACTAATTATAAAAACTAACAAGCAATTTTTCATGCAGAAAAAATTAGATAAAACAGAAAGCACTTCACATCCAAACTGCTCCCCAGATAAAAAACAGACCCAGACTTCCACTTTTATACTATCCTTATCCGTATTGACAAAACTAACATGAAAGGTACAATCTGAACAATGTCTATTGATACAGAAAATGTCAAAGGTATAGAGAAGTAATGTCAACTAACCTGAAGCTACGACCGTTATGAGTGAGAAGTAGGTAGTCAGGAGCCCTCACAACCTCCTTTCCAGTAGAATGTAACTCAATACACTCCTCAAAGGGAACCAGTTCTTCCAAATTACTTGCATCTTCATGAAACTTCGGTTCAACTTGCACTGTCCACTGTTAAGAATATAATCTCAGCTGCTTTCAAAGTGGTATGCAGTCAATAATATGAGCATTTAAGGCAGATACATCTTCTCCATGGTTCAATCTTTTAATGCAAAGGCTAGAGATGGATCCATTTGGTAAAATGGAAGTAAACTCTGCTGTATAACATTTCATGCAAGCTCTAATAATTCTAAAAAAAATTAATAAGCAGAACTAAAGAAAAACGTCAAATTTTTAAAATGATAATTAAATACTATAATCACCTAATAAGTCCTACTCGAAAAAATTTCAGGAAATAGCCCTCAATTCATTGTAGAAGATGTGCAAGACTACATTGTGGCAAGAATCAGCACGCAAATACTTGTTCAAAAACAATTCGTTGTGCCTTGTTTTGGTAAAACATAACAGACCATTATGCTAATTTCAAAAGTTATGATATGGAAAAGAAGTTTAAATTAAGCCAATAATAAATATTCCACTCGGGTGCTTATAGATTTTCACATGATACTTCATACAACTGCAGGAAGTTATAAGAGAAAAGGAAAATTGTAACATGAAGGCAGAACTTGCAATACAACAAAAATGTAGAAACTGAATGCATTTCCACAGGTTATTACAGTCAGATATTTTAGAAAAAGGAGGACTTCAGATAATTCAGTCATTCACTATTGAGAAAATAGAATGGGTAAGAGAGAAGATGCAATAACTAAATTAACAACAAATTATATAAATAAAAAACCCAAATCTATGTAATTAGAGCAGCTTGAAGATAACCACATTTCAGTTTAGACATTCAAGAGACAAGCAGAATCTTCAGCCAGCATAATCATATAATCAAGTTCACCAAATTTATCAGTAATCCCACCTCAGTAGGTTGTTGGCAAGCACTAGCTTCTCTTAGGTAGATCCCTCGATAGGAAGGAGCTGCAGTTAAAATTAAAGTGCCACATCAATATCAATGTAATTCACTTAGCAGATAACTAACATCAAGAACTCTCAAATATTGAAACAAATTGTGGAAACTATGATTAATATGTTTAAATATTCAACCAAGGGTAGAGCTATGCCCCCTTACCCACAAGACTTTTACAAAACATAGATATTTCCATAAAATCTCAGCCCTATAAACATATTTATTATCTTTGCCTCCTCCCTTTCTTTTTATACTATGGCCCCCACAAATCCAAATTCCTAACTCCACCCCTAAAATTGACCAAGGCAAAGCTTGTATCCAAATATCAAATAAAAATTCCTGTATAAATAAGTTATTAACCTATCGGCAAATTACAAGTCTCTTCCTAGTATCCAGCATTTCATCTAGCAGCACCAACTGTAATGTTAACATATAACCCGCTCGTGAAAATTTATTAGGCATATAATAGTAAAACCCCAGAAATTGTGTTTGTGTGCTGTTAGTCAGAGAGACTGAGTGAGGAACCTAAACTTACTTGCAGTTCCAGATAGACTGATCTTTATTCCATAAGAAACACATGGAACATTCCGATACTGTTGAATATATTCAAACGCCCTGTGATGAAAAGGGCGGTCAACAATAAGTTTAAAAATTCAAAAAGCTCAATTTCACGGATAAAATCTTTAGTAGGACAGCCATAACACATCATCCATACATCCATTCAATAAGATTCCACCTTTGATGCATTTATTTAAAAATTATCCAATCATTACTGTGGTAAGGCAGAAAAAAGAGTACGTAAATGCATAGGTGGCGGCATGTCATTGGAGGGTTAATGAATGACGTGATAAGCCTATCCTACCCAAGACTTCTTCCAACCAGGAGTTAGCAAAGAACAAAGGCCTAGAGCACAATCCTAACTTGTCAACTTGCAAAAGTCCTTGTCCCGTAGATAGTTTATCTTCTGCCAAACCACCTATAGGAAAAGAAGTATTCTCAATAGCTTTCCTTACAATGTATGGACTCACAGGAATGCCCTCAGCCTGCAAGACAACATCAAGCAACAGAAACCCCAATAAGATTAACAGAGACTGGCTGAAATGATGACAAAGAAATTAACCAAAAAAAAAAATGAATGTCAATTGGACAACAAGGAAAAGCGTTCTAACAAAGCATTGGAAAAACCTTCATTGCACTGATAACTAATGCAATTCCCCCACATGCAGATGGAGATGCCATTGATGTTCCATTCATAAGCATGCGTTTCTGAAGAGTCCATGTAGAGACAGGAGCAACAGCCCCACCAGGAGCACTTATGCAGACACCTAGATCACCATCAGTTGTTGGTCCTCGACTTGACCTGCATCCCATATAAACATTTTAAATATGATACAGATACAGATACAGAGCGGAATAATGGCTTATAGGTGCCCGAGTAAGGGAATGATATTTCACGGTCAAGATCGAAGTAATTGAAGTTGACATACCAAGTGTACTCGAGCCCTTCACTGGGAGGTTGAACAACAGAATGAGCAGCAGCGGCCATTGCAGGAGAGACATAAGCACCAACTCCGATAATGCTTGAAGAGGTACCACCAGGTGCACCAACAGTGTTTAAACCAGGCCCGCTGTTGCCAGCACTACTAATGAATACTAGACGGTGCTTATTTACTGCCTAAATTAAAAGCCGAGGTGACATCCACATCATATTTGAGCATGAAAGACAAAACAAGTGAAAAGAAAAATAGACAGTTATCCATATGAAGGAAGGTTTTGAAGAGATACTTCATTAACAAGGTCAACAAAGCGACCATAGTCTGGCAGTAGGGTAGGCTCTCCATAACTCATATTGATGAGATCACATTTGTGCTGCATAAAATGCACAACAGCCATCACTTAGACATAGAATATCACACATCAGCAATCCTCTATCTAAAATATGCATAAGAGTCATCCCTTAGACATTGTATCAATTAAACATTGTATATCACACATAAGAAATCTTCTATGTAGTTCATTTGCAATATGTAATATAGCACACTATCATATCTACCACCTCACTTTACAGATATACGTCTATTTATATTTGTAATGTTTCTGTACACACATGCTTAGATGTATTAAGAATTAACCAAGAAAAGCCAATATAGGAAATACAATACTAAGACTACAATCCCTAACAAAGATAAATCATATTCAAAATGTATTTTACTTTCAGATAAACAATTAACCACCTCCACAGCAGCTATCAATGCCCGAGTTAAGCCAGTTCCTGTCTCCATCGAGCCTAAGCGTGAATCTCCAATTTTACAAGATATTAACTGTGCTCCAGGGGCAACTCCATTCAACAAAGGCTCCTATCAACCACAAATGTCAGGACTGGTTTACCCTGAAATAGTGTAACAAATAGATTAACATAAATGGAAGTACCTCAGGGTGAAAAGCCGAAGCAATACCAGCTACATGAGTTCCATGAGGAGAACTATCTGTTACGATACTTAAGATGTTTCCTTCATCATAAACATTAACAACAAATGTACAAGCATCTAATTTGCTAAACACGCCATACTTCCGTTCAATCCTGTAAGGGTAGATCTGATAATAGTTAGACATTTGTTTGTATAATACCCGTTAGTAACTCCCAAACATATTCAAAAGAATACCAATAAAAAGAATATAAAAACTTGTATGATAAAAAATGAAAAAGGACTCTGAGAAGAAACCAAATTGCTCAATTCAATATCCATGGTATAGTCTTAGCAATAAGAGTGACACTACATTTACAAGTAGGGATATAGGCAAAACCCCTCCTACCATGGGTTAATTATAAAACTAGGCAGAGCAGTTTGCTTCCTCATATGACAAGAATAACACAATAATTTTTTCCTGTACTACTGAAGTCCCCAGTAACTCCTGGGTAATTTATTTAACACTCCTAGAGGATCTCTCATGATGGGGTTCTCTGTAGCAACAAGTTTTAAATTATCATCTTTCTTGTATTCCTATTGCCAGGAATTATGTCCAACTTTACTTGACAACACCCTTCTCTTGCTGATCTATTTACGTTGAGAGTTTTCATGCTTTTGGGGGTAGGAAGCCTATGAAAGCAGCAGTATTATGGGGCTGTAAAATTATGTTGTTTTGTGGGTCTTAGAGATTGAAAGAAACAAAATGAGCAATACATGTTTTTGAAAATTAGTGCATCTGTTCAGAGGCATAAGGAGAAGGGGCTGGCCTATATATGTACAAAGTAATATTACAATATTTTTAGTCTAGCACAAAATAAATTTCTTGCCAGGCCCCTATGTCTATATTTGCAAATAGCTTGTTCATCCTTCTATAAATGTACTTATATAAGTTTACTTTGTTTCTAAGCAAATGAAAAAAATTCCAAGAAATCTTCTAACGTGAAAAAATTTACACATGGGGCCGTACACAAGCAATAAGTACAAATGGTTACTCCCATTTTCTTTTTCTTTTTCTTCTTGTTCACGTTTCTCATGGGACCAAATCCTTGTCTCTTTTGCTTCATTAAATTTAGTATTGTGTTAGAAGTACTTGATGAACAAATGCTATCCGTTAACTATTCATGTTTTCCAGGAAAGCTGGTGACTATTTGCTTGAGAATGGAGAAATCACCGCTGCATAACATAAGCCTAATATAAGACTTCCAGGTTAGCAGTTATTGTGCCCTTTCCACACAACCAAGAGCAACAATTCCAGCAGCTTCTCTTTATTCACTAAGCAAAGTCAGGTGCTTCATTAGACAGTAAGTGGGGAAGACTATTTGTGCAATGGCAATATCTAATTATGATCAGGTAATTTACAAAAAAGATATATAATAGTTGATGCACTTGCATGTTATATGCACTGTGGTGTGAAGAATAACATTTCTAGCATAAATATACTATATATAGTCTCTGATAGACCTCCTATTACTAAAGTCTACCAATTGAAGGGGCATAAAGGGCACAAAGGATACAAAGGTGTTAGGAGTGTGAATGAGCACTAGTGGGAGTTAGTTAGGGGAATCTCCACGTGGCGGAATTGTATAGATGAGGGATATTTTAGATGAATCATTAGTATATAAAGTTGGGTTTAGACTTGGGAGAGGGTTAAGTTATTTTCTTGAAAGGATTATCAATGGAGGTCCCTAGCTCCTCGAATTGCTAGGAACTATCTTTGTTTACTGTTTTCAGTTCTGTTTTGAGTCTTTTTGGATCTACAGGTCTTGTTTACTCCTTTGTTGATTAATATAAGTTTGTCGAATTGCTTGTTCTCTGTATTGCTGGTGTTGTTTGTGTGGATTAGAACCCCTTTGGCAAGAGTTTCCATCAGTCTCCAATCAACATCATCGTACTTTTGTCCAAAAGAAGAAATTTCAACAACATTATATTTTAAATACAAACCATGCATACCTAAAATTTGTAAGAGGTGCAAAGTCAGCAAGTTTTCCACAATCCGGCTCATCCTCAAGACTCTGTGTGTCAAGTGCAACCCTCCATACTTCCCCATCATGCCATACTACAGCATCTATTACAGGCCCTTTGTCATCATAGCTCTAAAATATAAAAATGATATCACTTTTCAGAGCAAGAAACGCAACTCGGGAAAAAGTAATTCAGAATTCTAGAGTTACCCACATCAGCCTGCTTTTTTAGAATATCAACTCTGTTTTGGAGATCTTCACGAATCCTTTTCAAGCTTCCGTCCTCCAATTTCTTGTGTTTCTGTAAAAAGGGATACTACTGCAAGTGATGTGCAAGCAACAAAAAGAATAACAGCACATGCTAAAAAACTACTCTGCGTAAAACCATGGCAGGAAGTAATACTTTTTAGTTCTAAGTACAGCTAGCAATACTTTTTTGTTCCAAGTAACAAAAAATTATGAAAATACCATGCAAACAAAACACAAATGGATTTCCGCAAAAATTATCACCATATTTGAATGTGAAACTGAAAGAAACTAATGTCTGCAGATAACCAAGATGCTTGAAGGCAAAAAGTATCATGCTTAGTACTACTTCAACACAAAGGATGAAGTAGATAGATGTATCAAAAACTTTCAAAATCTAATACACGTAACCAAATATAATCTACAGCATTGCAGTAACCTGATCGAATTGATCAAGATGCTTTACAGCCTCAGCGATTGTCTCCTGATTCTTCTCATCCAACTTTTTCTTTCTTTCTTTCTGCCAAGAATATCAAAAAAAAAAAAAAAAAAAAAAGAAAAAAAAAAGATTAAAATGTTAGCTTGTTAGAAGAAGTTTAAAATGTTAGCCAGTCACGGTAATGCTTGAGAACAAAAATGCAAGTTCAAAGATTACACGAATGAAAATATTTCTTACCTTCAAACGAGAAGTCAATTTGTCCGTAAACAACTCATATACCATCTTATAGCCCACACGCCATTCACCAGATGGGTTTTTCCATGAAGAATTGACAACCAAAGTTGCCCCTATATTGAAAATTTTCATCCATCAATTCGAGACCACATAATTTGACACTATAAATGCAATGCTATGTAGAATCATTTTCAATTTTAAGAATGCAAATGAATAGCAAAAACAAAGTAAAATGGAAAGTTTAAATGAATCAATAATACTAACCAGAAGCACCACGAATACAACCATCAGAATCAGCCTTGACCGCCGTTGAGGTATCAATATCTCCACTGCCCGTACTGAAAATGATAATAGTACAACAACCAAACAAAAAAAAAAAAAGGTCAGAACTTAAACATCATCTCATAGATTGTTAAAGCAAACAATAGTACCAGTCCACAACATCCAAGATTTTAGGCTTCCCATCGGATGTCACTTGCAAGCCAGCAGCGGCAGGGTCGACACCAGAATCTAAAAACACCAAAAATCGAATAAATTTATTAAATATAACACATAATTTTCTTTTCTTTTCTCTTCTCTTCTTTTCTTTTCAACCAAACAAAGGAGTAATTGATTCCGATACCGAAAATCGCAATAACGACGCCGCGTCCATCGAATTTAGGGTTAGAGTCGATGAAGCGATCGGCGGCAATTTCTTTCTTCGGCATGAGGGAGGCCAAGAAGGTTGACTCGTTTAGTTTGAAATTACGAAGTGAACCATTATCATCACCACTAATACCACCACTAGCACCAGAAGTCAAAGAAAAACAAGGCATTACCCTAAGTTTACTTTGAAATTTGCACTCTCGCCCTCCTTTCACTCTTCTTCTTCTCGTAAGACTGAGCTGTTTTTCAGTTCTCGTGAGTAGAGAAGACGACAGAATCTGCGAAGAAAATAATGATTGTGAGAAACACGCTACCCTCTGTGTACACGTAAGCTTTCCTTTAAATAATGGGCTTTGCAATCGCATTGCTTTTCTACTTCTTTTGTTGGATCTTTTTAGGGAGGGTAGTTGGGTAATTTACGATAAGAAGTGGTGGCGTTGACGGAGGGGCTGGAGGTCTCGCGGGTTGAAATGACACCTATTTATGAGCTTTTGAGGATTGTCAAAGCGGTGGTTTTGATTGGATGAAATTTGGGTGGTGCTGAAAATTACTGGATTTGTCCTTGCATGAAATGTATTGATTTCTAAATCCTTCATGGAGAATTTGTTGTATAGTGGGTCAATTGAGTATTATTTTATTATTTCAATTTATGAAAAGTCTGCACTTATTAGTGGCACCCTTTTAACGTATGATTACAATCAACCACCAAATCATTTTCAATCAAATTATATTTGTGTGTAATTTATATTCATGGAGACCAAAATTAAACTTTGATAAATAAGAGGGCAAAAAAAAAAAAAAAAAAAAAAAACAGATGCATTTATAAAGGAGAAATAATAGTGTCTTGGTGAGTATTGTCAAATGGTTGAATGCAAGTAAAACACAGTATAGATAAGATGAGAAAAAAACACTAACAATTTGAATATAAGCAAAACACTAAGGGCATGTCTGGTTTGGGTTATGTGAGATAACTGGAGTTAAGTCATTTTATATTACTTGATTACGATGTTTGATTGTCAAATAATATAAGATACCGGTAATCTTCAACTACCAATACTATTGGTAATATTGGAGGTAATCTGATTACCTCCATTTTCTTAGGTATTCTAAGATTACCAAGAATTTTTTTTTTTTTTTTTGTTATAATTCTATTCCTTATTAATAAAATTTTAGGACAATAATGCCCTTATTTTTTAAATTTATTTACATGAATATGACTTTTATTATTTCACCCTAATTAATTAACTTTTTTGATAAAATTACCCTTAAATTCAAAACAAATTGCAGCTCACCCAAGCCACCACCCCTACCCACCTGCTGCCACCGCCGGAAATGCACAAGAAGGTCAAAAATAGTTGACGTGCGTCGATATGGCCATTTACGACCAAATGTCTGGCCGAAAATGGCCAGATCGTGCCAGATTTGGCCGGCCAAGGCCACGTCCGTCGATCTGGCTATCAACGGCCATCGATCCACTGGCTGTCAGATCTGTCACGTCTGGCCGTCAACGGCCAGATTTGTCACATCTGGTTGGAAATGGCCATACGGTGCACGGAGGCCATTTCCTGCCTTTCGTGCGCCATTAGGTTGTCGACTATTGGTGGCCTGTGGTGGTTGTCGACGGCCCGCAGTGGTTGGGTTGGTGGAGATGCTTTGTTGATTTTCCAAACTTTTATTATTGTGTTGTTTTTGCTAACTCTTTAAATGCGGGGTTTATAATAATCAAAATAATAATCAATATTAAAAAATAATATAATAATAATATTTAATTAGATGACAATTTAGTAATTTAAATAATATACCCACCAATTAATTTCTCTCAACCAAACATATTAATATAATATACTCATCATTAACCAAACACAAGCTCCTAAAAATTTTCAGTAATCTTCAAGACAATCAAATTTTTCAATAATCCAATATTCTTCAAACCAAACGCCCTCTAACAAATAAATATAGCATAAACCTGCGCGTTGCGCAAGTATAAAATCCCACAAATGGCCAAAGTATAAAATCAAATGGCATCATCAATAAGCAGAAAAGAACAGGCTAAATTGAAATCATCCTCATTGGTCAACGGTCGAGAAGCAAGGCCTTTAAAAGAAACACTTGGAGTAACTGGTATTGAGGGAGTCTTGTCTTGGGTGCCTCGTCATCATCACAATCATCCATCCACCATTGGCGTGCGAGTCGAATTTCCATGCACCATAAACTGTCAACTCCATATCTAGTCTTTGATATTTAGAGCTGCCAACCTGCTGCTAGAATGGGTAGGGCAGCTAAGGATATAACTATGAAGGTAGACTTTCGCGACATGAAACTGAAATATGTAGACTTGGGAATATTATCAGATTCCTTTTCTCAATTGCGTGCTATTAAATCACCAAAATCTAGGTTGCAGTTACCATTTCTTGCTATAAACGTGATTACCACTTTTGTTCTCAATAAGTGCGATCTATTATCTGACCACGTGATAAGAGAATTTTGACACGTGTAATCTGTGATCTGACCATACAATCGAAGAACTCTAACATTACGATCTGGTCACGCCATCGGAGAGCTTAGATACAGGTTTGAGACCTGCATGGGCTACTAAACTGTTGATGTTTGATTTTAGACACCGACGATTCACACATGCAAAGTGCTAAGAGAGTCTTAGAAATTACATGTAATGGATCCATGAGATTTGAATATGGTGCTGAGATTATATATTTACAGAAACATAAATAATAAATTGACAAAAGAGGTTTTTATAGTGGTTTGGATGCTTAAAGCAACTCTTACATCCACTATTTTTTTATTATTCTCTAACTATTTCTATGATAGTGCCCGTAAAACATATAAAGATGAAGAAATACTTTATTTACAGAGAGAAATAATGAAGCTCAAATCTATGCTTAGCTCTCATATGTCTAACCCCCCTTTTCGTGAAGAGGGGTGCTCATTTATACACCTTTTAATTAGGTCAATGTAATGAATGCTTTTGCAAGTTGCCCTGACACGTAGGGACTACTTCTTAATTCTTATCTTTTTATTTTGATAAAGTTGGGACAGGTGTAGGGTCCTCATCCACTCATAGACAAAACTTGAATCTACTGGGTTGGTGACAGTCGTATCCCTTCTGTCTTAGGGTGATGTGACAGTTCCTAAACGGTACAAAACCTTCCTGAACTCTGATTGGTTGGTGCTGATATCAGTGTGATTTTTTAGGCATAGCATCGATAATCTTCAAATATCAATAGTGGTTATTATTGGTAATATTGGTGGTAATCTGATTATCTTCGTTTTATTAGGTATTCTAAGATTACCAGGGTTATCTTTTTTTATTACAATTCTATCCCTTATTAATAAAATTTTAGAACAATAATACCCTTATTTTTTTAATTTATTTACATGAATATGACTTTTACTATTTCACCCCAATTAATTAACTTTTTGGACAAAATTCCCTTGAATTCAAAACAAATTGCAACCCACCCAAGCCACCATCCCCACCCACCTGCCACTGGCAACCACTACTGCTGCCGCTAGAACGATGCACGGAAGGCTGAAAATGGCCGTCGTTCGCCGATATGGCCATTTATAGCAAGATCTAATTTGATTGTCAAAGGCCAGATCGATGGCCGTCGACAACCAAAGGCTTCCATGTGCTGTTAGGTTGCCGACGGCCTGCGGTGGTTGCCGGCAGCAAGCAATTGCTAGGTTGGTGGGGGTGTTTTGTTGATTTTCCAAACTTTTATTATAGGGTTGTTTTTGCTAAGTTTTTAAATGCAGAAGGGTTATATAATCCTAATAATAATCAATATTAAAAAATAATATAATAATAATATTTAATTAGAAGACAATTCAATAATTTAAATAACATACCCACTAATTAACCAAACACGTTTTCTTAAAGATTATCAGTAATCTTCAAGGTAATCTAACTTTCCAGTAATCCAATATTCCTAGTAATCTAACATTCCCTGAACTAAACGCCCCCTATATATCTTTTTATTAGAGTTTTGAAATATTAAGAGTATCTCTAAATGATTTTTTATATGACCCAATCTTTATTATAAAGAGTTTATTCATAGAAATAATAGTTCAACATACTCTTTATTCTTTAAATATAAATTAAAGAGTGAATTTGACTCTTCACAATCAAATTTCACTCTCTATCCAAATTTTAAATAATAAATTCTAAGTTTTTATGCATTTTATTTATAATTTATCTCTCCTATTAAATTTCTTTCTTGAAAAAGACATATTTTCTCTCCTAAAATTTAAAGAATCTATTGGATTTGAATAAACATTTTATTCCTTATATTTAAAAATCAATAAAAATATTATTTATTTATATGAAAGATACTCATTAAAATAAAAAACACCATTGAAAATGCTCTAACGCAGTAATTAATATTTGTCCATATCATCATCAATAAAATTTAACCATATGTGAATCATACCAATGTAATGCACCTATAAATTATTATTATTATTAATTATTAAATCTAATATGTTTTATTAATTATTAATTATATATGGAGTAATAATTACAAATCCAACATGTCAAAATTGAGCAATTTGATTGATTCATTAAATCACAAATCCTTATTATCAATCTTAGGTGTCAAGATAAAATAATTCTATTAGTTTCAAAATGTGTTACATGGTGATCAACCTATATATATATATATATATATATATATATATATATTATATATTATATATATATATTATATATATATATAATATATATATATAATATAATATATATATTTAACGGATTTCGTGGGACATAAGTGGTATATATATAACGGATTTCGTGGGACTAAGTGGTGTGACGCCCTAAACAAATATATATAGATATATATATTAAATTTAGAACGATTTCGTGGGACATAAGTGGTGATGACCACCTAAGACAAAAGTCCACCACTGATAAGATTAATTACTTAAATAATTAAATATTTGAGCAAACGGCGAACAACATATTCCCACCCAAGCTTTAATGAAATCTTTGTTTTAGATTCTCAACCTCAAATTAACATCATTTTTTTTATTTTAACATATTTCTAACTTTTCATTATAGCATAGTGCAGTTTAACGTATTTTTTACTGTAATAAAACACACATTAGCACACTAAAGTGCATCGACACTTTCTTTGATAGAATATGGGCTTATTTTAGCAAAAAGGGACTCACATTAGTATTGTCCAAGCCGACAGTTTTTGGCTTTTTTCGACTAATTCTGAAGTCCAAAATTACTTCTAAGACTATTGTTGGACTCTCCACAACCTCCTCTAGAAAACCCATATATGCACTTGCCAACCTTACTATTCATTTCCGACCACCTCCAATGGTCACTAATGGTATTAGTTTAAGGATAGAAATATGAAATAAATGCAATCAGGGATATCAACTTTAGATTTTGCTAAATCTCGGGTTGAGATATGTTGTTTACTCTTATCTCTGTAGCCCTAGATTGATGATGATGAAGAACTTATTCTCCAACGAAGTGTCACCCCTTGAAATGACATATCATTTCATGTAACATATTATTAGCATATTACTGGAAAACGTCATTGTAAAGATATTGATTGCCAAAAGGAATATAAACCAATGGCCCTACCACTTCAATTTTTTTATCTATCAAACCGTCTATAGAAAGAGGTTAGCTGCTATTAAACGCTTTAGATTAGTTCTGGTTATCATACTGATTCAAAATGACATTTAAATACACACAAGCAAATATTATTATATACTGTTTTAAAATTACAGAACAAGAATCCAATCCCACAAAAAGAAAAGACTACAACCATTATGATGTTGCACCAAGAATACAAATTCCAATTAGTTACAAGCTTGAAGATTCAACTTCTGTGTTGAACTATATCTTCCTAAAATTTGGTCGAGAAAAAATAAACTTTTATCAATTGATAAATTTGGTAAAATTCTGAATATTTTTATCTGTAATTTGGTAATAAGTATGTGTATGCAATGGCTTTTTTTTTTTTGCTTCTTGTATGAATACTTTGATTATCCTTTTCTGATTAAGTAAAGTACGTAGTAGCATCTTCCACTTTCTGAACGCAAGAATTATTTACCATCTAAATAATGTGTTGGACCTGCACTTTTTGCTCTTCATCTATTGCACCTGCAATGATAGATCTTCAGTATAGTGGCACTATGAGCTCCCTCTCGTTTTATAAGTATTGAAATCATATGAACATTACCTGAACCTCCGGTATAAGGTTATGGCAAGAATTGTCACAAGGATATGCACAGTCAATCTCCTTGGTTACCCTTCTGCCAAAGTACCAATCACCAACTGCTTCTGCAATTGCCTGGAAAAGGCAGTGCATATTTTACAAGTTGAAGTACATTTCCGAGTAAATGCATCACAATGAACTGTTTATTGGCATATGTTTTATAGAATTTATGGTAAGCTGCATTACCTTATTGTGTATTCTTGGGGAATCAACGGCAAACCATGTATCTTGTGACTCGCTTTGGCAATGAGCGAAGCATGAATTTATGAACATTCCGCCACGTCTTGAATAATTGAATAATCTCAAAGCTAGAAGCATGTCACGCCTGAAACCTGAGAAAAATAAAACATTACTACTGGGGGATGTAGAGCTGACCAAATGGAAATTTATGTTTAAATAGCAATCACTAAAACAAAGATTTAAATACCTTGCAGTACATCTATCTGGTTTGTGTTACATGCTGCTGGATTAAGCTTGCAGTGATTCCAGTGTCCGCGCAAATCAGCAGAAGGTGGAACCAATATATGATGAAACTGTTACACATTTTGAATCACACTCTTAATATACTCTATAGCAACTAGATCAACAAAATGGATGTAAATGTCTCAGATCAATGAAAACAGAGGAAATTTACTTGATATACATCATATGCTGAGTTCAAAATGAAATAAGGTGTCGTAATATACTTCAAGGCATACTGTGGGAAGAAACACTGCAGAACAACAAAGTAAAATGTAAACAATGCAATATACAAATGAGGTCACGCCGTGCTGAGCTAATAATACATTTGAATGGAAAATTCATACCAGGTCCGGAAAGATAAGGGATTTGGTGCAGTTTTGATTCAGATTTTGTTCTATCCCCTGTAATACATTTCTCGTATGTGAATATGAAAATTTCAATTCAAGAAACACAGTGAAGATTATATGCTTAACAATAGAGCTTTGTAAAATGAAGCTTTACCTGTAGTTCAACAAGTGCTTTGTAGAAGAATCTCATAGTATGGTTAAAACTTATGTCTCTTCTGTAAAGTTATAGGGGTAATAAAGGGGATTAAGTAACATTTCAAGCAAGAGATGAAATTAATACTTCAGAGCACAGCTAAATTTTATGAGAGAAACTCTTACTCATCCAAGAAAAATCCAGCGTCGCTCAAGCATTTCACACTGGCATTCCTTGGTAAAATCTTCGCGAAGTTGTCGCAATGCACAAAGGTTGCTAAGCCCCCAGCAGAGCAACCTGAAAGCAAAGCCTGAAGAAGAAATTGAGTCAATGGTTCAAGCTCACATCAAATTAACATGGACAGCATTGTATCATTAGTTCATACCTTTCTAGCATTTGCCAATCCTTTAGGTAGAAGATCACGAATGATTGCATCCCAAATTTTTTGTCCTCTGAAATAAAGTAATGACGTCTGTCATTCATTTACACCAATGAATTAGTTAAAATTGAGCACAAAAGCTAGTCTTTCCCCTGGAAAGTGGAAAGCAGGATAAAACAAGAAATAATTATAACTGCCTCCCTCACTTGCGATTTGATATACAATGCCAATGACACTACGTTAACAAAAAAAATAATATAAATCACTTGAAAATGCAATGCTATTGAACTTCTTTTATCAATGTATTAACTCATTTTACACTATCAAAAATCATATACTTCATCGTCCATTATCATGATAAAATTTGAGATAAATCATATTTATTGTTTATAGCATATTTGTTGATAAATAGACTTCATTTATTGCTCATTCATTATTGTGTTTAGGGTTATTTGAGTGCTTAAAACATTTGAGTTGTCCAAAATTCTTCGGTTTAGACCAATGGGATCTTACCAATTAAAGAGCAGGAATGTATAAGAGAAAGAAAATTCGGGTGAGAAAGTTACCCCGTTGTCAAACTTGGCATTTCCGGCAAACGATCCTCCATCACAATATCTAATTTTTACTCGATTCCAGTTGTAGAAATCTGATTCATAATCAGAATTTTTGTTAGTACATTTAATGAGGAGAAGATAACAGAATTTAATAGATTGACATGTGCATTGTTGTCCATATATATAGAGCAGAGCAGTTGAGATATAAAGGTGAAGAGAAAACATTTTGTCATCTTCCAATATGAAACATGGTAGGTTCTCTATACCAGCAGGCCATATAGATCGATAAAATTAGAGAAGATCCATGTGACTTACTCAGCCATTGACATTTTTTATGTCTACTTCTGGAAGGAACATTTCTTATGTCAAAGATTCTATAAAATGAACAATCTAAATGAACTGTGCTGAAATAGAAATGTCACCTACTCCACTTCAAAGAGAACTATTAAAAAAGTTAAGAACATGGAAGGTCAGGTCAGGTCACGATTGTCATTACAAGTCTCAAGGGTCAAGGCTGTCAAAAAGACTAAGAGTGGCAGAAGCTAAATCTGTGCAACAAGCCATAGCTGTCTGTCCGCTAGTGCTTTTGGGTTGAAGTATTATTAATCACGTGAAAGGGACAATAAAGGATGATAGGAACATGAACATGTCACGAGAACTCATTAGATTTCCGGTGTTCGAGGACATTGATGTCCAGTAATTCAAATACCAGATCTGCTACAGTGCTACATGCAAAAAGTGTAATCAATAATAGTATGTTGAGTTGTGAAAAGGCGCGAGAAAAACTTGTTTTTCTCAGTCAGTTTTAACTTAACAGAATCTGGTAAAAGAGGACGTGGAAAAAGAGTTAACGCTGTAAGTCTGGAGTCACATAGTCAAAACGTAAACTCTGTCAATAGTTACAGTCGACACTGTACACGAGTAAGTAATGTCATTATAGAGGCAGGTAAAAATCCTCAATTATATGGATCGTATAAGATTCTCATTTAATGGTCAATATCAATTATTATACCCATTTACTTGGCGAAATTGGAGCCAAAATAAAGGGAAAAAGTCACAAAACTTCCCGTGTGTTTTGTTAATACATCTCATATATTAAAGTGCGAAAAAATAAAATATTTAATTATTTCAATATCAACAATTATATAAGCAGAAGAGGTGAATATAGTTAAAATCATAAAAAATTAATCAAACATTCATTGAAATTTTGTTTCTTTTAATCTTTTCTATCAATAAATTGTAATTGTAACAAATAACATTAAGATTACTGTAATAAAAATTATATGTTTTTGCTATGTCCATATATGTAAAACACATGATTAGAACTAACCATATGACCTTATTTTATAGTTTTCCATATGACTTTTTTTCAGCAATCAAAATTGAGAAGGATAAACGGTTTCTCAAGATATTTTCCGATTCTAAGGTGGGACATGTTAAGGAGTGAATGGGGGCTGATGATCCCTCTAAAAAATTGACAAATTAATTATAAACACCCCCACTTGTTTTCTGTTATGGTTTTTTTAATTTTTTTTTCTGATAACTAGAATATGTGAGCCAGCTTAACTAATATCTGGGGTCCATTGGATACTCTATCAGTCCAAACTCAAAGGACCAGATAAGTTAAAATATTATTGTAATAATTGGTTCCAAAGTTTGAACCTATAAACTTAAGGAATAGAACAAATATTTTTTATCGCGAAGCCAACCCCTCCGGGTTAAACAACTTATTTAACTAACCTAGACTAGAATTCTATTAAATTACTTATGTTACCCCCTGAAATATAACATTCAAATGCAGAATTTAAACTCACCAGGTTATACAGTTGAATAAATACAAAACAATCCACATTAAGCGTTAATTATTTAATTTTGATAATATTATAGTAATAAAACTTATAAAGTACCTGGATTGAGAGAGGCATTGTTGCTTAGGATTCCAGAAAAGGCCTCCCATTTGGTCATGTAGCGTGTTGATCCACGGCGCGTTTTGGCTCTCTCTAAACATGATGGAATATCATTACACCACCCACCACCCTGATCACGTAGATCATCATAAATTAAAAAACTCACCAACTCACTAAATTCATTTATTCTGTTGTCATTGCCCATAAATTTTTCCTTGCACTTAAAGTTTGATGTAGATGGATTATTCCCATGTTCCTGTCACTTATAATTAATTTTGTTATCTGGGAACATTCGGCTGTGGATATAGATAATTGCATGATCCTTCAAGGTTACGTCTGCGCGTGGAGGACCCATGAAGTTACAACATCAAATCAAACACAAGTCATCTCACTACTTCGAAATAAATGTCTTTTTTCAATTGAAAGTGCTTTCAAAATGAAAGTCGTTTATGTGAAAAAAAATGTAATAAAATTATGTTAGAACTATTTTAAAAAGGGGTTATTCCTATTAGCAATTAAGAAATAAAACCTCTTAAATAATACAATACCTTAAAATTATCAGTTAGATAAGAGTTTTGGTGATTATCTCTATTAATAATTGATAAATGATTACTCAGAATCTCTTAAAAAAATACATCTAAATAATTTCCGGAGACCTTAGAACTATTGATCAGATATAAGTTTTATTGACTATTCTTATTAACAATTGAGAAGAGAATCAAACTCATGACCTTTTGAATAATAAATTCAAGAGTCTTTATCAAATTGTTCAACCATCCGATAATAATTTACTCTTATAACTTTTTATTAATTGATCATATAAACCTAGATATGTCGTAATCAACCTTTCATTTTTAAAAGAATTAATAAAAAAAAAGACCAAGTTGATTAACGCATATATCTGGAAAGTCCGGTAACAAATAAAATAATCAGGATTTATCTCATAGAATTTCGGGCTGATTCGAACCGAAGTCCTAAATTTTCACCGGAAATTAAAATATGAACAAATAATGAAACCGTGAGCAAATATTTCACTTGATGTTTGGCCTATTATAGACCACCAAATCGGCAGCGCACACAATAAAGCGAACGGCAAGTAAAGCAAGTTGCAAAAGTAAAAAATACACGAGACACTAGAAAATAAAGCGGCAACGATATCGTATTGGTTTCAGAAACAACCAATCATTCAGCAGCGACCATCGAACCAATAGAAGGACCACAATCGTTCTGAATTCTGATCCAAAATACTCAGTTACCATTTGGCAAAATGCAGTCATGTTTTTTGTTATTGCTGTTCTCTTCAACTTTTTAATTATTATTTACTAGCAAAAATTCAATTTGAAATGATTAAAAAGTTAAAAAAAAGTATAATTAGATGTTTCTTTTTTTGTTATTAAATAAATTAATTACCTCAAATTGTAGCAACCAGTTGCGCTCTCCAGCACCGAATCCTTTGTGCAGATGATAGGCCGGTAAACTGCCGTCCAAACAAACTGACCAAAACAAAATGATAATTCATTATTTATTGCATTACTTTTTAAAGTTGATTTTCTTTCCAAAAAAAAAATAATAATAATTGTGATTGAGAAAGCCGCTTACAGGCACCAAGAGCTGAAGCGTTTTGAACCAGAGTCATGCCCACGAGAAGGGGATGCGGACGCTCGTCCAACTCCGAGTAAACGCCCCATGGCGCTGAGGTTAGTAGAACTAGTAGTACTAGTACTAATATCTCTACTGCTGCATTCAACTTCATTGTCGTTTCAACGATCTCGGTTAACTTTCATCCAAATGTAGAGGAACGGAATATAATCAAATCGAAAATGAAATTTTAAGAAAAAACAGATCAGTGAAGTTGCCGAACAGTTGTAGGTGAACAAAACGGTGCGTTTTGGATATAGTGAAGATATACAATGCAAAGCAAAGCAAAGGTTTCTGTACATTAACGTGAAGAAGAGGGAAACAGAGAAGTTGGTGGTGGTGGCTTAGCGTTGTCTTATTGGGGAGCGAAAGTGAGATGGGATGGCAAACGACATGCGTATAAATAGTCTTAAGAAAAGAAAAACGAGTTAAGAATTTGAAAATTTTGTTTTGTGGGTGTGGGTGTGGGGTCCACTGGCTGACAACTGGTGATGGTGGTAACTAACCTAATCTGGCAATCTGGTTACGGTTTGTGAAATGTGATGGAGGTTTAGTTTGGTTTGATTTATCTGAGCTCGGTGGATAAAAATGTCTACAGTGCTGGTGATTGTTACTTGTTAGGTTGTTAATCACTTCTGGGTCTGTTTTATGGTAGGTCTTCAGTTGAATTATACGCCCAACTTGTCACTTGTCCGCGAGTGGCCGCTAAAGCTCAACTAAATTAATTTCAATGGTCACTGTTAAGTGTTAATCACAATTATTTGTTCTTGGGCCCAAACGTCGATGGTACTGTATTATAGTTTTTTATTTTCTATTTTTTTAATAAAAATTATTGCTAAAAATTGATATTATAAAGGTATTTGATGAAAGGATTATTACGTGCCCTATAAAACCAGACATGGAATTAACATAAAATAAAGATTTTATTTAGAAAGGAAACCAATATTCTATGGTTTTTTTTTTTTTTTTTTTTTTTCTGATTTTAATTCACTTACTGCTTTTATTCTATCTAAACATAGAAAAAAATCCAAATAAAAATCAATTAATATCAATTAATATCAATATTTTAATCTAATTTATTTAAATTATCGAAATAAATTCAATAATAATTAATAAATAAATACTTAAAAAGAAAACTTCTAAAATCACATTTACTGTCGGCACTGCTAGTTTCATTCCTTAATGGAGTTTGGAAGCATATAAGGAGTGACAGATTGAATCCAGCTATCAAAAGTTTAAAAAAGAAGTGAATTCTGCAAATGTAGCTCAATAAAAATAAGATTTTTCAATGGAGCCTAAAAAGCATTATTATCTTACCATTTTTAACCAAGTAAAATTCTCCTTATTTTGGGTCTTATATTTTCTATATGAAACCACAAAATCTGATAAACATAACAAATTTTATCATAGTAGCGGGACGAAACACGATTCTTTTAAAAATAATAATAATAATAATTATGGTAATTTATAAATTTGAAAATGATTTTAAAAATGATTAGGTTGATGCCAATTCTGGATGTCAACAGCCCACGTGAGTTGCATGTGGGTTATTCATGTGGAATGTAATCAACATGGAGAAACTAATTAAATAAATTTCCTCTTTACAAGATATTAATTTCCAATAAGTTGGCAAGCTGATTGTTTAATAGGTGTCGTGTCTCACTGTTTCAGTCCCATGATAATTAAATTAAATTGGTAACGTCTTTGAGAAATATTAATGCATTTTAGGGCCTCGTTTTTTATGGGCCTAGAAAATGCAATCGCCAGTATTTCCTTGTAACCCAAAACGCCATCAAGACGGCTAAAGGCCCATAGTCTACATTTCAGGCTCTCTTTACTTGTGCCACCCCACCACCTATTAACTAACTATATAGCCGGTAACAACATCTCTAATTGTGCTTTTTATTTTGAAGAGCATCTTTCATATAAATAAAAAGTATCTTCATTAATTTTTAAATAAAAGAACATAATTTTTATCAAAATCTAATAGACTCTTTAAATTTAATGAAGATGCTCTTTATTTTTAAGAAAAAGACTTAATGGGAGACATAATTAATAAATAAAATGTAAAGGAACTTGTAGTTTATTAATTAAAATTAGGATAGAGAGTGAAATTTGACTCTCTAAATGTGGAGAGTCAAACTCATTCTCTAATTTATATTTTAAAGATAAAGAGTTTGTTGGACTCTTGTTTTTATGGATAAACTCTTTATAATAAAGAATTTATCCATAAAAACAAAAGTCCAATAGACTCTTTATTCTTTAAATATAAATTAAAAAGTGAGTTTGACTCTCCACATTTAGAGAGTCAAATTTCACTTTCTATCCTAATTTTAAATAATAAATTGCAAGTTTCTATACATTTTATTTATGATTTATCTCTTCTATTAAGTTTTCTTCTTGAAGAAACATATTTTCTCTCCTAAAATTTAAAGAGTCTATTGGATTTGAATAAAAATTTTGTTCTTTATATTTAAAAATCAATGAAAATACTCTTTATTTATATGAAAGATACTCTTTAAAATAAAGAGCACAATTGGTACTCTTTATTTTAAAGAACACATTTCACATAAATAAAGAGCATTTTCATTAATTTTTAAATATAAAGAACAAAATTTGTATTTAAATCCAATGGATTCTTTAAATTAGACTTAATAAATAGGAGAAAGACTTAATAGGAGAGAAAATTAATAATAAACTGTATAGAAACTTATAATTTATTAAATAAAATTAGGATAGATAGTGAAATTTGACTCTCTAGATATAGAGAGTCAAACTCACTCTTTAATTTATATTTAAAGAACAAAGAGTCTATTGAACTCTTGTTTTTATGAACAAACTCTTTATAATAAAGAGTTTGAGTTATATAAAGAGTCATTTAGAGATGCTTTAATTCTTTTGAGTACGTGTGCATTGATACGTTAAATTTTGTATTTGTCCAAAAAAAAAAAAAAAAAAATCATACAAAGTTTCAAAAAAAAAAAAAAAAACACATTAATTTAAAGAAAGAGTTTGGTTTAGCACGTAGTGATTCGATATGACTCTTGGATGTATTACTCAAGAAGTTCTGAATTTGAGTTTCTCCTCAGTTGCTCATAGGGAGGGGTAACAACTAGAATTCTTACCTAACCAGTAGTTCCAGGGTCTTGGAGGATTAGTTGGAGTGTGCATAAGCTAGTCTGGACACCCCAACCATCAAATATATATATTGTTGTGTATGATTTTTCCTTCAAGTTCATAGAATTACGAGGTTATAGCTTGACCCAGAATCAGTCTGACTCTACAGATTGTTCAACCCAGCATAAGCTCATCGAGTTATAGCTCGACCTAGCACAAGCTAGTCGCGACCAATCCTTACAGCTATTCAACTAATTTAGAAATAACTTCAGAAGCTGAATATCTCGGAAAGGATCAGATCGACAACAATCTTTGTGCAATCACAACACTCAATCGCGAGAATATCGGAGTTGCATTTCAAATTTAATTGTAATCCCTTTATTTTTGCTCTTTCCTTTATACAAAATTTGTATATAAACCCCTTCCAACGATGAGAAAGGGGTTAACAATTTTCTCTAGGACTGTTATTGTAAGCTCTCATAGCAAATACAAAAACAGTGGACGTAGGCTCAAGAGTTTAACTCGCCAAACCACTTTAAAAACCTCTTTGTCATTCTCTTTACTGCATTTAATTATTAATTCATTGCTAGTTACCCGTAATCACGCACACACCAGTTCCAATCCCCTCAAGGTCGATCAGATAACTCTAGTTGGCATATTTTTGAATCAACATTTTGACACTAGAAGGAGGGTCTTCGCCAAAATCCCGGAATTTTCGACAAGCAATCCCAGTGACCCAATCACTCCGGGCCCACAATGGTGGGTACAAGATCAAAAACCACCACCGGAAACCACGACAACATGGAAACCACCTACCAGGAGGTGCAACAAGACACTGCTAGACGTCGACCACCAGTGTCGCCCATTCAATAGGCTGTGAATAACCAGGGAGCAGGGACATCAAATCCCAAGAACAGCTAACTGGTGGAAATGATAAAAAATAATGGTTGTATAGGCGGTGCAACAGAACGTGGCTGAGTTGAGAAATCAGCAACCAACCGCATAAAACATTGACCAGCCACACTTCACTGATACCACCCCTACAGGTTGGAATTCAACCGGCGACCAATTTGGTTCATCGGCATCGATTGGCGACCAACACCCTCGACATCATAGAGTACGCGTGAGTCTTGTGGGCAAACTAACCATCGGAGGCAACCAAGAAAACAACTAATAAGGGAAAGCGAAGGTAATGGTCACTCACGAGACGCTAGATCTGCTTGGCAATATCCCCAGCGTTAGCATGCCGGTTTTAACCTAGGCACAAGGCAGGCTCAAACTTCGCAAGCTCATTAGGCGAGCCATGTGCACCAATCTGGCAATGACTGACATTCTGATTATAACTGATATCGCAAGCAATGCACTGACGAGCATGATACCAACCTAGCCATCATGACTCAACCTCGTGCATCAATATGCATAATGGAGGGGCCTCGTAAGCAACAGACTTGCAAACTCACTGGCTCGTGGTTAGGTTGAACAAACCCAGGTAGGGCAATCCTCATAATGATGGATCAGGTGTAGAAAATGCTCGATAATCTAAGAGCTCACTAGAATAATGCGGCAGAAGAAACAGTGAGCTCTCCCTTCACAGAGAAAGTTTGCTAGGCCCTGCTTCCCCAAGGATTCAGAACACCAAAAAGTAAGTTCGATGGGAAAGGAGATCTTAAAGACCACCTCGACACTTTCAATGACCTGATGGAGTTGCACCAGGTCTATGACTTAACAAAGTGTCGCTGTTTCACAAACATATTGGTAGGGGATGCCAAGAGGTGGTACAAAAGACTTAAGGCGAACTCCATCAGTTCTTGGCATCAATTCTCCTCATTGTACTTGTAGCAATTCCAAGCGAGGTGACCGTTTGCAATGCCGCTCAACTACTTGAGCAACATTCGCCAGGAGAGAGACGAAACATGACGTTCCAGAACAAGTAAGCAAAGGTTGCAAATGCACCTGAAGAGTCAATCTGAACTTTGTTAATTACGGGCATCTGGTTGCAAACGGAGCTGTGGAAAGAGCTCCAAAGTGAAGGTCATGTGAGCTTGGCAAAGTTTTACCAGATGGCTGCAAAGCACCAAGAGTAGAAAGCTCACTAGCAACCTTAGCTAGAAGCTCGTCGCAAAGAGCCTCGGACAGGCGACAAGATCGCCCATCAAATAAGCAAAGGGGCCAAGACCGCAATGACTAGAACCGAAACAAGTCCCAAAAGAGACAAAGAACAGATAACCACGGGGATAGGCAGCCCTTCCCACGAT